GCTGACACTCTTCTTGAAAGCTTCCAGGGATGAAGCTCCCACAACTTCCGAAGTCAACTTCTGTTCCATTGGTGGATTGTTCTGTCACGAAATTTTTGTACCCACTTTGGGTTTAATTCATTTAAATTGAAAGTGCCCCCTCCCCATCACCTCTGCAGAAAGCAAAGAAAGTTATGTTCCCCCACCACCCATGAAAAGCGTAATTTTCCAGTGAGAAGGAAGCCTGTATGGAAAATGTCATTTTTGCACTGAAGGAGAGGAAAAAGAAACCAAAGAGATCCTTTAGGATTTGGAAAGAATGTGTGCATCTTCCCGATTTTCCTTCATAAGATCTAGTGACTTGAGTTTGGGCAGGCAGAGGTTCCCATAGGTTCAGAGCGGGAGGTGTGTGTGTGTGTGTGTGTGTGTGTGTGTGTGTGTGTGTGTGAGGCCTTACAGGGACCCCCATGGATGGAGAAAGAGAGAGAACTCAGGCGGGTCCTTTGCAGAAAAAAAGATAACATTCCTGCAAAATTGGCTGATAATAAATTTTGATTTTTTCAGCCAGGATGGGATCTCTCCTCCTTTGGCCAACTGGATACTTTTCTTTCCTGGCAAGGCCTCCATTTTTTCGGCCTCTCCCCTGGTTTTCGTCCGCACCCTAGCCAAGGAGTTTGAAAACTTTTAAAAACTTATGTGGAAAATCTCAGTTCTCCGGGCGTCCCGCACGAAGCAAATTGGTGGGAAAACAATTTGCTGACTTCTTTTTTTATCCTGGCTCACGATTCATCTTGCAGCTGAGGTCTAGGTTGGAAGGCGAGGACTGGATTCCAGGGCAGGAATTTAATAATAATAGTAATAATAATAATAATAATAATAATAATAATAATAATAATAATAATAATAATAATATAACCAATTCTCTCACTTTCCTGTGCTGGAAAGTTTGTCTGAAAGCAAGACTCGTTCCACAAAGACAGCCTCGTATCTCTTTTCCCCAGAGAAGATTTTGTCAATCTTCTTTTTTAAACAGAATTACGGAATGACACAGTGGGAAGGGACCATAGAGGTCTTCTAGTCCAACCCCCCACTTAAGCAGGAGACCCTATATGACTCTGGATAAATGGCAAAAGGGCCAATTCTTTTTCCTCCTGCCGAATAAATTGAGCAAAGAGCGTAGGTATTTTTTAAAAAAAGGCTGTAATCATGGATTACAGCTAGTCCTTGACTCACGACTGTTATAGAGCCAAAATTTCCATTGTGAAGCAAGACATTTAAGTGGATTTTGCCCTGTTTTACGACTTTCTGGCCTCAGTTGTTAAGGGAATCGTTGAGGTTGATAAGTTAGTTACCCGGTTGTTAAGTGAAACAGGCTTCTCCCTCGACTTTTGCTTGTTGGAAAGTCGCCAAAGGGGATCATGTGACCCTGGAAAACAGCAACCATCATAACTCTGAGTCAGTGGCCAAGTGTCTGATCATGTGAATTTGCGCATGTCTTTTTGAAGTGTTGTTGTCGTCAGCTTTTTTGGGGGTGGGGGGTGGCAAGTACAACACAGGCCTTGTTTAGTGTCAACGATCAGTTCACTTGTGTGAGGCGACCGAGGCCTCATTTTTGGACCTTCTGAGATGACATAAGGAGAAACCTCTTCAGAAATGGCGTTCCACAATTGGGTCTTCAAACCTCAGCCGGGCTCTGTGGCATTGTGGCTTAAATTTGGGCCTTGTGTTTTCAGGACCTGGGCAATTTTAAGACCTGTGCACTTCAACTCCCTGGATTCCATGCTGCTTGCGGAATTAGAACAAAATAGAATAACAGAGTTGGAAGGGACCTTGGAGGTCTTCTAGTCCAACCCACTGCCTAGGCAGGAAACGCTATATCATTTAAGAAAAATGGCTCTCCAATCTCTTCTTAAAAACTTCCAATGTTGGAGGATTCACAACTTCTGGAGGCAAATTGTTCCATTGACTAATTGTTCTGTCAGGAAATTTCTCTTTGGTTCTAAGTTGCTTCTCTCCTTGACTAGTTTCCACTCATTGCTTTTTGTCCTTCCTTCAGGTGCTTTGGAGAATAGCTTGACTCCCTCTTCTTTATGGCAGCCCCTGAGATACTAGGGCACTGCTTCATGTCACCCCTAGTCCTTCTTTTCATTAGACTAGACATACACAATTCCTGCAACCATTCTTCATGTTTTAGCCTCCAATCCCCTAATAATCTTTGTTGCTCTTCTCTGCATTCTAGAGTCTCCGCATCTTTTTTACATTGTGGCGATCAAAATTGGACGCTATATTTCAAGTGTGGCCTTACCAAGGCATTATACGTAAAATGGTATTAAACACTTCACATGATCTTGATTATATCCCTGTTTATGCAGCCTAGAACTGTGTTGGCTTTTTGACAGCTGCTGCACACAGCTAGCTCCTATTTTATTGGTTGACCACTGGGACTCTGAGATCCCTGTCACAGTTACTACTATTGAGCGAGGTACCATATACCGGTGGTGGCTAATCTTTTTGAACTCCTGTGCCAAAGATTGCCAGCACCCAGAAGGCAATGCGTGCACCTCCCACCCCCCGCACATGCGCGCAACCCCCCCGCCCCCTTATTTGCACTGCAACTTTCCGCTGATTTTCTGCCCGTTTGAGGCCATTTTTGGCCTGCCAGAGGCTTGAGGGAAGCCTCTGCAGGTCGAAAAATATGCCCGTGTCCTCACTTCCTGTATTTCCGGAAATACAGGAAGTGATGAAACTGGCCTATTTTTTGGCCAGCAAAGGCTTCTTTCCCTCAAGCCTCTGGCAGGCCCAAAAAGGCCTCAAACGGGCAGAAAATCAGCCAGGAGACATGCGTATGTGCAGTGAGCTAAGTTTGCCTGGGGCTTGCATGCTCACACAAATGGGTCTGCATGCCACTTGTGGCATGCGTGCCATAGGTTCGCCATCACGGATATATATATATTGTACCTGGGGATTTGATTTTTCTTGCCTACTTTTTTTCACCATTGAATCTCATTGTTAGATAGGGCCCAATTCTGGGAGTTGAAGCCCACGTCTTAAAAGCTGTCAGGTTTTTGAGAAAAACCACGATCAAACAAAGAAGTTGCCTAAAATGACCCTTCTTTTTGTCCTTCTCAGCCTTTGACTGACAGGTTCTAGCAACTTCAAGCTCCAGAATTCTCAGCCCAGAAAAGTCCAAAGGAACTCTACAGGTGGTCCTCAACATATGGCCACGACTGAGCCCAATGTTTCTGTGACTAAGGGAAAGGTGCATTAGGTGAATTTTACTGTTTTACGACCTTTCTTGCCACAGTTGTTAACCGAATCACTGCAGTTGTTAAGTGAATCTGGCTTCCCCATTGACGTTGCTTGTCCAAAAAGGATCACATGGCCCCAGGATGCTGCCGCTGTTGTAAATGAGGCAGTTGGCAAGCTTCCAAATTTTGATCACTATAACCGTAGGGATATCGACCACGGCTGGAAATGTGGAAAAACGGCCTTTTGTTTCAGTGCCATTGTACCTCTGAATGGTCACTGAATGAACTGTTGTAAGTCGAGGACCACATGTAGTCCCAAATCCACCCAGAAAAATAAAGTGAAGCTGTTAGGAATATAAGTCACCTAACAGGTATTTGAGTTAGAAATATATAAACCAGAGTAAACATTTTAGTACTATATCTTTAAGGGAATGCAAGACATGCAATTGGGTGTGGTTTCTCAAACAGCCATAAGATGGAGCAGAAACCTGGGTTGTTTAGTCTGAGTCTCAGAAGAGAGTCTGACTGTATCTCTGTTTCCTTCTGTTGGAAAGTATTGCCGTTGCTCCATTTCTTCTAATTGACTGATATTATTGGATTTAATGTAAGTCTGATACTGAACTGTTTTTTGACACTGGAATTTGATATTTGGATTATCCCTGGATTGAAAACTGACTGATTTACTTGTGAATGACTTTGGATTGCTTATTTTGGACTTTGCTTAAATCTTTCTGGAAGTAAAAACCTACATTTACTGTACAGTGTATCTGTGTACTGTGTGTGTATTATTCCAACACTTCTCTCCATACATCTCCCTGTATGCGCTCATTCTCCTAAAGGGGAATTACCTCAACGGAAGCCAAGCAATTGGAGTCTCCCAAATGCATCCGCAATCCTTGACTCAGGAATGTATGGGGCAAATATTCCCCCAACAACATATAAACAAGAGACCAAGGCTTTCTGGAAGATAAGGCCCTCTAGAAGGTGTGTGACAGTTGCGAGGGTGTGTTGAAATTATGCAGGCCTTTGGTCAATGCAAGGCCCTTGGCAGATGTGGATAACGGTGCCAGGGTAACACTCCTCCCCATCTCACCTTCAACCTTGGATTATAAACAAAGAGAAAATGAGCAGAAAACAGTATAAAAAACATTAGTCAATCAATCAGAATAGAGCTGGAAGGGACCTTAGAGGTCTTCTAGTCTTCTTAAAAAACAATGTAGGTGATGAAGCACCTACAACTTCTGGTGGCAAGCTGTTCCATGGGTTAATCAGTGATTGATTGATTGATACAAATGAATCGGAAGGGACCTTGTAGGTCATCTAGTCCAACCCCCCCACCCAAGCAGGAGACCCTACACCATTTCTGACAGATGGCAGTCCAGTCTCTTCTTGAAAGCCTCCAGGGATGAAACTTCCTTAATTCCTTGCGGGGTGGATTCTGTGCAACTGAACTGAGTATTTACTGGCCAGATGCCCTTCCTATTGCCGATGAGGAGTTATATTCATCAGATATTAACATATTAACAGAGTTGGGAGGGATCTTTAAGGTCATCTAGTCCAACCCCCCCCCCCCCCCCAAAAGCAGGAGACCCTACACCATTTCTGACAGTCTCTTCTTGAAAGCTTCCAGGGATGAAGTTCCCACAACTTTCAAAGGCAACTTCTCTTCCGTTGGTTGATTGCTCCGTCAGAAAATTTGGGTGCACGAGTAAAAATCAAGCTAAGATTTACTTTCAGGGTAGCTTGTATTTTCAAGGAAACAGGGTAGATATATTTATTATACATAGATATATTTATTATAGATTTATAAACCTTTTTTTTTGGAAGCTCGAGAATGCAGAGGGAGAAAGGACAATTATTTCTGGACCTGCTGGAGGGAGTCTCCTTTGGGCCGAAGTCTCTTGCGCCGCTTCTCTTCTTGGTCTTCTTCCTGCTTTTTCTGTTTTGCTTCCCACTTTTTCATCCCGTGGTCCAGTTCAGAAGAGAGCTGGGCTATGCGCCTCTGAAGAACCAAAAATCAGAGAACATTAGAAAGGGCCCGGGGAGATGTCCTTCAGATGCCCCCTTTTAACTTTCCTGCAGGGATGTCTCTTATGCAGATTCTCAATTGATCCAGGTCATGGTTGTCCCAACTGGACTTTATGGTTTTTTCTTTTGAATATATTCCGCTTCTCATCCAAGCAGCTTCTTCGACTCTGATAGGATGATGGGGAATGGAAGGATTGCTATTTCTTGCAGACAGCTGGTCATTTGCATCCTTTTTAGAGAGCCACTGAGGCCACTTGCAGGTTTATCTGTGCCCTCGGGGTCACCCGAGTGGTGTTCCTGGTTCCGGTTCTCTGCAATATTTTTCCCCTCTGGAAATCCATTCTTACTCCCACCCCATCCAAAGGGTGTTCACCCCAAACTTCATATCTAAAAGTCTGTAGAGATTCTCAGTCATCCAGGTCATGGTTGGCCCAAAGGTGCTTTTTCCAGGAGGCAAATGGACTTCCTTGGCTTTTTTTTTCTTTTGAAGAGGTTTCGCTTCTCATCCAAGAAACTTCCAGGAACCAGTTGCACCACTCAGGTGATCCTGAGGACACAGGTAAGCCTCCAGGTGGCCTTAACGACCCTCTAAAAAGGATGCGAGTGACCAGCTGTCTGCTAGGAGGATAAATCCTTCTGTTTCCCACCACCCAGTCAGAGCCGAAGAAGCTTCTCGGATGAGAAGTGAAACGTCTTAAAAAAACCCAGAAAGTCCAGTTGCCTCTTGGAAAAAAAAAAAGCACCTTTGGGACTTCCCGCAGGGAACTGCAAACATGCAACCCGAGCCTTCATTTCTGAAGGACAGGTGGTCCCTGACGTGACTGTAGCGGAACCCCCGTGCCCCCAAATCGTGACTGTTAAGTAAGTTGCATCACATTTTTGGCCAGGCAGCTAGAAAGGCTACTTACCACTAATTCCCGTTTTTTTTCCTGTCGTCGGAGATGGCCTGCCATGGGAGGGGCGGGCCTGCCATCTGCCATGGGGTGGGAGTCGGGGAGGGGTTAGTGGAAGAAAAGCACAATGGTTATGTTCTGACCCAGCTCCCCAAACACAACAGAACCTCTAACGTGAACTCAAAAGATTCCTTTATTACGAATGCTGGCAGCCCCGGCAAAAAGTTTCTGTTGTAGGCTGACAAGTCCGTCCGTCCGTCCAGAAGATGAATAGTTGTCTGCCACATCTATGCATCTCCGCCCCCTGCCTTTTACCCCCAGAGCTAGGCTGGGGCTTCGCTAGCAGTGGTGGCTCTTCCGTCCTGAGGACCGGCCCACTGATTTCCACTGCTCTCCTCTCCTCTGCCTTCTCTGCATCCATGCATCAGGCACTGGGCCCAGCTGTTCCTCCTCTTCCTCATCAGCCACCTGTAGACCTGGGGGCTGTTGACTCTCCATCTGAGGGCTGACAGACAGCCCAGGCTCCCCGCGCTCTGCCAGCTCCATTCCCTCTTCCCCCTCGGAGCTCCCAGGCTGCCCTGATGCTGACCCCGACTCACACACCTCTTCTTCCTCTGATTTGATTGCTGGAGGGGCCAGTGGCCGATAGGCTACAACAGGTTATTGAAGACACCGGTTGGCATTCTCGGGGTGGGGAAAGGGGATAGTTTTGCGGGAGGGGAAGATGTGTGCACGAACACTTATTGTTCGCACGAGTGGGTCAGCGCGTGCATGTGCACGCACTAGCCGGCTATTCATGCAGCCCGGTTGCGAATAGACCGTGGCCCGAAAGGGGGCCACGTCCCACAGGTTACGGACCCCTGTTCTGATGTACCCTGGTGCCAAGCCATTTAGAAGATCTTTCGAAGTGACAGGTTCAAATTGAGCTAGGCAACCATATAAATACAGCTGGAATTCTCCACTGAGCAGAAGCCCCTTGTCAATCATCTTGTATTCTACCCGGTTCTCCTTTGAGATTGTGTTCCCTAAAACAATGTTTTTAAAAAGCGGGGGTTTGGTTTGATTCTGCTTTGGTCTTCCTCAAATTGGTTTGAGGGACTCTTGGCATAAAAGCAACCTGTCAATCTCAACAGATAATCTGCTCCCTGCCCGCTCTTGTTTACCAGCAAAAGACCAATCCGGTAAATCGGTAGTCAGCCCCTGATCAGATGGGTTTTCAGGGAGTCCGTGCCTGTAAAAAGAAGACAAAATAGCTTGTGCAGCTCTCTCAGAAATTAAACAGATCGCCAGCAAATCAAAAAGGGATCTGAGTCCGCCTCTACTGATAGTGTAAGTGATATTTTGGGGGGCATCTCAGCTCAGTTCTGACCCCTTCAACAGCTCCCAGCCTCCAATTTCCTAAACAGTAAATTGCAAAATATTCCTGTCTCTGATACTGGAGAGTTACAGTCGGGAAAACAGAGTTGGAAGGGACCTTGGAGGTCTTCTAGTTCAACCCTTTCCTCAAGCAGGAAACCCTATACCATTTCAGACTAGTGTTACTTGCCACTTCTGGTGGCAAGTGGTTCCATTGGTTCGTAGTCCTCCCTGTTAGGAAGCTTCTTAGTTCTAGGTCGGTTCTCTCCTTGATTAGTTTCGATCCATTCCCTCCCCGTGAGAATCATCTCACTCCAATGGGGTTGGCCTACCCTATTCATGGCGGCAGATGGGGCATGTTACAGACCCCTTCGGTCAAAGAATTCCAGCAGGCAGGGTCAAGGAAAAGAGCCTTTTTTGCAGTGGCTCCGACTATTCTGTCCTAGGCTTCCTAAAAGCACGAAGCCGACTCCTTGCTCCAATAAAACCCCCTTTATTTAGGTTGAAGTGAATTCCTCTCTAGCAAAGTCCCGCCAACAGTATTTCAAGAGATTGCACAACCACAGCCTTTTATCAGTCTTGGAGAGCTTCCAGGCCGATATCTTCCAAGCGCCACACTATAGCGGACAATACTTGGCAAGGAGTCAGGAGCAGATCTTCACCCTAATGAATTGAACTAATTGTCTCCTGCAACTCACCCACCCCCTTTGCTTCTCGTTATTCCCTCTGGGAGGGGCCATTCACTGTCCACCTGTGCCTTTACTCCCTTGTTCCTTAGCTGTTCCCTTCTCCTGGCAGCTCTGAGCATGCGCACACTGGGAACAGGCTCCAGCTGTTCTTCTTCCCCACTGATTTCTGACTTTGAAGGCAGCTGATAACTGTCAGAAAGCCCTGGCCCCATTTCTGCTTCCAATGCAGAGCCCTTGTCAGAGCCTTCCCCAGACTCCAGGACTGGCCCATGTTCCTCCCCAACCTCCTCACTGTCTGAGTCAGCCGCCAGTTCTGCTGGCTGCTGGAGGGCCATAACACCTACCTTCTGGAGGTGAGCATGCTGAGGTGAGACCCAACCCACCCTTTTGGCCTTCTGAGAGGGCCTAAAGACCTGGTTCTGCCAACTATCCTAGGCCCCAATAAGATGTGTTATTCTGGGGGGAGTTACTGGATTAAGACAACAATAAAAAAGACTTATTTCTAGCTCAGGGTTAAACTGTGGTCTTTGGTGCTATCTGAGCTTGGTTGTTTCCTCCTTTTTTCTTGTGCTAGCCCTGATGAAGTAACCTAGTTTGGTAAAAAGAAAAAAACAACCAAGCTCAGAGAGCACCCCCCCACCCCCAGACTAAAATAAAACCCCTAGCTCCTCCTTGTGGGCATCCTGGTCCCTTCCTTCCCATTTTTATTCATTCCTAAATTAATTTTAGTGCGACTATTTACCATCTCAATGTTTTAAGGTTGTATGGTTTGCATACAAGAAACATAGATAGATATTCTATCAGATGATATAGATAGAAAGATAGATAGATAGATATAAGTAGATGATAGAAATAAATAGAATGATATAAATAATAGTTAATATAGATAATATATAGTAGATGATATAGACAATGATTGATAATTAGATTGATTTAGATGATCAATATAAATAAAATAGATAGGTGATAGATGATACAGGTAGATATAAATAGAAAGATATAGATAATAGATAAATGTACAGTAGATGATAGAAGATAAATAGATATAGAAAGTGATAAATAGGTGGATATAGATGATCAATATAGATAATATAGATGATATAGATAATAGAATGATAGATACAAACAATAGATAAATAAGATGATAGATAACAGATAGACAGTAGGCGATATAGACAGTGATGTATATATGTAGGTAGGTGAATGGATAGATAGATAAATAGGTAGATACGACAGATAGGTAGATAATGACAGGTAAATAGATAATGATAGATCATCGATAAGACAGACAGACAGACAGACAGACGGAGCAGGCACTCACTTTATTCTCCATTCACTTCCGGCATACTTCATGGTACTGCAGTGGAAACTCCGAGCCAACTTTGCAAGCTGGGGTCCTATAGGATAGGAAACCAGACAGAAAAGGCATGGCTGAATCATAAGAGTCGTATGGTTGGCCTAGAAACCTCATCAAACCATTTCACCATTATTATGTATTGTCTATTTGACCCATGTTCTACTGAGCAGCCAAAGCTTTACATGTGTTGTCACGGTCAGACTTCAGAAACTCCGACTAGCTGAGGCGAACGTTAAAAATGATACAGAAAGGCTTCCTTCCTTTTCAGATGCTTTCTGAGTGGCATAGACTAAATGATTAAAGTGTAACTAATTATTCTGATTCTAATGTTAATTTTATTGATTATATTGCACCCCACCCAGATCCTATCTCTGAGGGGGATGGACCGTTAAGAAATATGATAGATAGGTAGAGGGAGGGGAAGGGAGGGAGGGAGAGAGAGAGAGAGAGAGAGAGAGGGAGAGGTGTGTCTATAGAGATTCTCAAGTGACCGTAGTCATTGTTGTCCAAAAGGTGCTTTTTCAAGAGGCAACTAGACTTTCCAGAAAATCCAGTTGTCTCTTGAAAAAGAACCTTTGGGATAGATAGATAGATAGGTAGCTGATAGATATGATAGACAGACATCTAACAGTATCTAATGATACAGTAGATAGATACAATAACAGAGATTGATATAAATAGTAGTTAATAGATAATTGATATATAGAGAGAGATGTAGATATAATGAAGAGAGATTATGATGGATAAGGAATATAGTTAGATAAATGATTGATGGATAGATAACAATTCTACACATATAGATTGATATAGACACAGACCGATATACATTTGTATGTGTGTGTGTGTGTGTGTGTGTGTGTGTGTGTGTGTGTATATAGAGATAGAGATAATGAAGATAGATGAAGATGGATAAAAAATAGGTATAGTTAGATAAATGATAAGATATATATAAATAGATAGAGATAGAAAGATTGACAGGGAGGGAGGGAAAGAGATGTTATACATTAAATTTCATTTAACGAGGTTATAGTTATCTTCCACCCCTTTTTGGGAACGGGCGATTTTTGGTGTTTTTTTTTTTAAGATAGTGTACACCCTGGGTGGGTTTAAAAAAACCCCACTATATTGACTTTAAGGAGGCAATACGCAACTATTTTTATTTAGTTTGGACCTCATCAGGTGTCAGTATTAGAACTGACCTCATCAGCTTCAGTATTGTGGCTACATATATTTGACAAGTTTCAAGCAGAAGGAAACCAGTCCTGCACTACCTCCTGGTGGTGAATAAAAGTATTAGCTGAGATGATCTCCAGGTAGAGTAGAGAAACAATCAGAGTCAAAACATGGGCTGGAATTTATGCCAATATCAAAAAGTTGGTTACTAAAATTAGTGTGGGGTTTGCTTACCAGAAGCCTTCCGTTTCATATATTTTTTATTGTTCAATTTCTGCAACGGTTAGAATTTTATGGCTCGTATTGTAATCCATATAACATGGATAGCCCCAGACTTAATTAGCGACCGTTCGAAGTTACAACAGCACTGGAAATAAATGACTTAAGACTGTTGCAGGATCTTCGTGGTTGAATTCCAGATGCCTAGCAACTGGCCCATATATACGACCGAGATTGGATCCTGAAATTTTTTGTACTCCAAAAAATTAAATGCAAAATGCAAAAAATGAAGCAGAGACAAAAAAAAACTAAACAAAAAAACATTGAAAAAAGTGTGAATCAAAAAAAAAAAAGAAGAACAAAAATACATATTATCCCTGGGAGCTCAGTTGGGTTGGGAATAGAAATACAATAAACTTTGGAGCTGCTTTGCAAGATGGGGAGGTTATTACAGGTAGTCCTCGACTTACGACCACAATCGAGCCCCAAATTTATGTTACTAACTGAGACACTTGTTCAGTGAGCTTTGCTCCATTTTATTACCTTTTTTTGCCCATGGTGATTAAGTGAATTGCTGCAGCTGTTAAGTTAGCAACTCGGTTGTTAAGTGATTCTGGTTTCCCCGTTTACTTTGCTGGCTAGAAGGTCATAAAACACTGTAACAGTCATAAATATGAGGCAGTTTCCAAGCCTCCAAATTTTGATCACGTGGCTGCAACGATCGCAAGTGTGAAAAACGGTCCTAAGTTTTCAGAGCCGTTGTAACTTTGAATGATCACTAAAGGAATGGTTAAGTTGAGGACCAGCTGTATATAAAATCCTACTAGGAAAAAAAAGTTATTCTTACATCCACAACTGTCAATTCTGAGAGAAAAGAAATACAGTCAGTCAGTGCAGTAACTCAGAGTGAACTATGAAAAAACAAACACATAACGCTATCATTTTCCGCCTCAGATCCATAATTTCTATTAAAAGATTCATATATGTCCAAAATAAATCAAAGTGATTTATGGCATTCTTGAGTGGAGAACAGATGAGTAGATGAAATGCCCTCCCATATAAGGAAGCCTCATATGGACATAACTCACTTTTTTCAGTGCTGCTGTAAATTGGAGCAGTCACTAAGAGAACTGTTGTAAGTCAAGGACTACCTATATCGTTGCAATAGATTTGTCAGTGTTGGGGGGGAATATTTTGCCCCTGCACTCCAGTGTTTCTCAACTTTGGCAACTTTAAGATGGATGGACTTCAACTCCCAGAATTCCCCAGCAAGGAAGGCAATTTGCTGGCTGGGGAATTCTGAGAGTGGGAAGTCCACCCAATTTTATTTTTGTATAAATTTTTTATTTTATTTTTAAACAATCCATTTTATTTTTAAACAATTCATCTGGGTACACGTGTGTCATCTGGGTACAAATATCTTGTGCAATAGCAATTAAAGTTTACAGCCTTATTTATTACATTAGTGTTAATTCTCTGTTCTTAACTTTATACCAATATGCACACTACATCTAATTCTATGTAATTCTCATCTTAACATATTTAATTCTATTAACATATTTTCTATATTTCACTAATCTTTATTTCTAACTTTCATATTTATTCTCTAGCCATCGATAAAATAGTTCCCATATAATATTCAGTTTGTTCCTTCTCTTTAATTGCAAGTGTTAACCTATTCATTTCCGCACACTCTAATATTTTTCTGATCACACTCTCATCAATAGGAATCTCTTCACTTTTCTAGTTTTGCGCAAATACAATTCCAGCTGCAGTTAATACATGAATAATTAAATACCGTATGGGAATTGAAGTCCCCCCATCTTAAAGCTGGTAATTTGTTGGCTGGGGAATTGTTCTCCTGGGATTAAGGGGGATTCTGGGAGTTGAAGCCCCCCCCCCATTTTAAATGTTAAGAAATACACCTTCACAAAAGGGGTTGGATATCAATGCCATCATCAGCCAACTCCCCTCCCCTCCAAAAAACTCATCCCATCCCACCCCACTGTGCTTCTCAATGTGGCCATCATGGAGATTATAGAGCAGTTTGGACCTTTCTTGAATTAGGAATTTGAGCTCAGCCTTTCCTAAAGGGTGTCCTTCAAATGTGCCGGAATTTTGAAGCGGAGGGGAGGTTGGATAATTAATTGGGGAGGGTCCCCCCTTGTAACGCGGGTCTCCGCACACCCACTCCCAAGGCAGCCCCATTGAAAGAACGAAACCGACCCACAAGAAAAGCAGATTAATTCTGCCATTCATTCTCCCCGGCTCCTGTGACGCTCGTTCCCGCGTCCAAGCGGTCCGTACCCAGCCTTGGAGTCCCGTGAAGCGCCATTCAGAAGAACCGAGCGGCGCGGGCTCACCGACGACGCACGGTTTCAAAAAAGCCCCCAGAGCGCCATTTTGGACCGTCCAAACGGAAGTACCGCCTCATCCGGTCTCCGGTAGACTGGGCGGCGCCATTTTGTACGGATCGTTGCAAAGTTGTAGGAAATTTTTGGCTGGAATGGATAAAGCAGGGGACGCGAGTGGAGCGTCGCGGCGTCATCGGGAGCTATTCTCCGGGGATCACCGCTGGGCGGCATTTTCTAAAAACAACGTGGGTTCTATTGTCCGGCTATTGAAAGGATCTATTTGTCTGTGAGAGCCACCATTTTCATCCTAGGTTCATCCTAGACCTTAGATGGGCGTGACCCGGAAGCTAAATCGGACTCCATTTTATAAACGGAAACTGAGATCCGCTTCCATTTTGAATGAGGCAAATTTCTTTGCCCCTACCCAGCTCGCTTAAACAGTAGAATAGAATAGAATAGAATTCTTTATCGGCCAAAAGAGGTTGGACACACAGGGAGTTTGTCTTGGTGCATATATTCTCAGTATAGAGAGAAAAGAAAGAAAAAAAGAAAAGATACATTCATATCTCTAAACAATAATTATTAAATTCTCCATCTTGTTTCTTTAAGGGTAATATCGCACTTCTTAGAAAGGCCTCGCCTAGGCTCAAATGCAGTATTCCTGACGTTTCCAGGGCTCCCTTGGCGGCCATTTTTACTAGGGGCGGAAAGGGCGTCACGGCCATTTTCCAAACGGTCGCTAGGTCCCCGGCGCCATCTTGGATGCTGGTTGCTAAGGAAGCCGTTGCTCTTGGCGACGATGAAAACAGTTATCTGGGATTCCGCCTCTTCGGATGGCGGAAGGAAGCCTAGATTGATGCAAGTGATCGAGGAATAAATTGCCGCCCTTCTCTTCATCCGCCTTCCCCATCCTGGCGCCCTCCCTCCCCCCCCCCCCCCCCCCCCCGCCCCAATGGGTCTAGGCAGCTCCATCTGGGAATGATGGGATGCCAGGTGGACTTTTTGCCCACAGCATCAGATGGGGGAAAGCCTCACTTGCTTCACTTTCTTACTTCAAAAAAGAATAGAAAAAGGGTCTTTTCCTCTCTCTCTCTCTCTCTCTGTGCGTGTGTGTGTGTGTGTGCATACTATATTCTATTTGTTAAATTAATATAGTGCCCATCTCATTGTCAAGAGACAGGTTTATAATAATATGAAATAGTATATATAGTATACATAGTGTATGTATGTATATATAGTGTAAGTGTATATATGTGTGTGTGTATATATTCCCCATATGTGTGTGTGTGTGTGTGTGTAGTATGTATATTTGTGTGTGTGTATGTATGTATATATATATATATATATATATATATATATAGTAGGTATATGCACACACACATCTGTGTCTATCTATATCTAGTATACATATGTATACAACTTTGTGGCATATATATAACCACATGTGGCATGCAAATAACATGCATGGCACATATATAACATTTATGTGCCATATATATAACGTGTAGTATATACATGTTATACACCATCATATACAGACATAACCTTTGTATATATATATATATAAGGTGACCAACTGGTCCTCCTTTTGTAAGTTCTGTCCTCCCTCGAAAAGTGTGCTCCTACATGTCCTCCTTTTTGATATTTGAAGACTAATCTGTAAATCTCCATATTTGATTGATGCCGATCCGATTCTTTGTGTGTGATGTGATGTATTTGTATTTGACATGATGGTTAGTCAAGGCTCGGTACAGTGCGGCGAGACATGATCATGAGATGCATGTGCTCCACACAGGAGAATTGTTTTGAGAGAGTGTGCCGCACACAAGAGTGCACCACACGCAAGAGGCTTTGTTTTTTTTCTTCAATTTATTTGTGTCCTCCTTTTCATTGTAAAAAAGTTGGTCACCTTAATATATATAAAATGTATGTGTGTGTGTATTTATTTGTTATATATACAGATATATATATATATATATATATGTATGGCATCCAGCTTTGTTTGGGTATTTTCCCATGTCATTGTAGTTGTACTTTTAAAGTTGTAGCAACGTTTCCGCAGAATCTCATCTGCCATCATCAGGCTTCTGTATTGTGTTCATCTGTGAGTCAGACTTTTACAGTTGTTTCAGTTTTAAATTTTGAGCTAGCCTATTGCTAGGGGATGAAGAAAAAACCATTCTGGCACAGCAGTAGGCTAGCCCCAAATTTAAAACTGAAACAACTGTAAAAGTCTGACTCACAGACGAACACAATACAGAAGCCTGATGATGGCAGATGAGATTCTACTGAAATGTTGCTACAACTTTAAAAGCACAGCTATAATGATGTGGGAAAATACCCAAACAAAGCTGAATACCGTGTGTGTGTGTGTGTGTGTGTGTGTGTGTGTGTGTGTGTGAGAGAGAGAGAGAGAGAGAGAGAGAGAGAGAGAGAGAGAGAGAGAACTTTATGGCATATATATTGTACAACTGTATGTGGCATATGTACAGATAGACAGAGAGATGATATAGGTGGCATGTATATATAAATATATAGGACATATTTTTCTCATTCAGTTGTGTCCAATGGTCAGAAACTGCCTGGAGAAGTCCCTATAATTTTATTAGCAAAGGTTTTTCCGAAGTAAAACCTTCCTAGAGCTGAGAGAAAATGACTGACTACATGTCACTTTCAGTTAGTCACTTTCAACTTTGTCTCTTTCTCTCTATGGCATATCTTTCCTTCTGGGGTAAAGTTGGCTCCCAGTTTCTGGAAGAGCATTAAAATCTGGCTCTGTCCACTAGCATGTGAGATTGACACATGGGGATAGCTTGAGAGTGCTTTCACTGTCTTTTTAAGTTTGTTTATTTTTGTACAGGTTTTTATGAGGATTTTATTTATTTTTTTACTTGTAAACCATCCAGAGTCACTTAAGCAATGAGATGGGTGGTGTGTAAATTTGATTAATAAATAATCAACTAAAAAAAAGTATATCCAAAAGGGGAATTTTCCAGAATTCTTTATTGCACAAAGATATTCCCAAATTCAAAAATGGAAATGAAATAATAAAAACAAAGGGTTTGTTATGATGGAGCAGCTGGCCAACATGACACATTAATTTGTGTTTAGCTAGTGAAAATAAAAGTTTTGGAACCACTTTCCATTCCTCCTTGTCTTACATTTATCTCCCTCCCACCCACTCTTCTTCTTTTAAGGTTGACTCGAACTGAGAACCCTCACTGCCACAAAGAGGAAATGAGAAGGATTTTCTGCTCAAAACATGTTTACTTAATCGCAGCGCACGCTAGTGCTAACCCAGTGGATAAACTGGTCACCTAGTAGGATCATGAAACGCCTGCAAGCAAACCGCCGAGCTCAACGAGCATCAAGGACTCCACGGTTCAACCCTGACCTACGGAGATTCTCTTCTTTCGGTATCAAAACATACATTTCACAGTCTAGGTTATCTCTGGGACTGAGCTTAAAACTTGGAAGTTATGAATAACAGAGTTGGAAGGGACCTTGGAGGTCTTCTAGTCCAACCCCCAAAATCCTATGCCCTTTCAGACCAATAGTTGCCCAATCTCTTCTTTAAAAAACCTTGCGGTGTTGGAACACCCACAGCTTCCACTGGGGAGTTGTTCCCACCGTCAAGAAATCCCAGTTTGCTTTTCTCCTTGGTTCATTCCCATCTGTTGCTTCTCGCCCTGCATTCAGGAGCTTTGGAGAATGGGATATTGAGTAGAACTGGAAGGGACCTTGGGGTGGGGTGGGGTGTCTTCTAATCCAAGCAGGAGAACCTATACCATCTCAGACAAGTAATTCAGACAAGGGTCTTCTTAAAAACCTCCAGTGATGGAACGCCCACAATTTCTGGAGGCAAACTGTTCCACTGGTGAATTGTCCTCACTGTTAAAAAGTTTCTCCTTCTTTCCAGGTTGCTTCTCTCCTGGATTAGTTTCCACCCATTGTTTCTTGTCCTGCCTTCAGATGCCCTCTGGAGAATAATTTGACCCCCCCGTCTTCTTTGAGGCATCCTCTCAAATACTGGAACACTACTATCACGTCTCCCCTAATTCTTCTTTTCTTTAGACTAGCCAGAGACCCAAAACCTGCAGCCCTGCTTCGTACGGTTTAGCCTCCAGGCCTTTGATCACCTTAGCTGCTCTTAGGTGGTCCCTATGAAGATTAAGCCAATGGGGAGCCCAATTCTTAGGATTTTCAGAAAAGCCCCCCTTTCATGTCAACCTGGGTGCAACCCGGAGACCTCGTATATACAAGCGTGGATGCAGAAAGCAGATGCAGGAAATAAGAATTGGGAGGGTGGAAATGCACGACGCTGTCCTTCAGGAAACCTCGGTTACTCTCCTTGGGCACAGTGGCTGCGAGAGAAAATGTGCAGGAGCTGGCAGCCCTTTATCACCCGAAGGATGAGATAGGCTCCCCCCTGCCCCCACCTGGCACTAGACGGACCTTGGACTCGATGGCTCACCCCCCCCTCCCTTACTCCTCCCCCAGCCACCCTGCTTAGTTCCTCAAGTTAAAAGTGCTGTCCTGACAACTTCTGATTCTTTATTCTTAAGCTGGTGTGAGGACAGGCGGGCAGTTCAACAGGGGAAAGCCAAGCCCAGAACTGGTGAGTCCTACGCAGTTCATCTCTTATAGACAGCGTCCCCTCCTTCATCCTTGTCCCTTTCTGTCCCCTGATGGAAGGGGTTAGAATCCTGGCTTCCAGCCATCGCTAGGACATCTGCCCCCATTCAATCAGAAACCCAAATTTTGCCTTCTTGCCATCGCTTGAGCTCCACTCCCTAGAGTTGTCTTCCTTGTAGCCCAACTACACAAGGCAGAACTTTTCACTCGGCCCTCTTTTTAATTTTTTTTTTTTAAGGATATCCAGATATGACTTTCTGTAGCCTTTCTGACCTATGGGAGGTTCGCTGGCCATCTGAATGCTGAAACTGTCTGCCTGTGCTGTCTGTCTAATTATTCTTCCAGATTCTTTCTTTCTTTTTTTAAAAAAATTGATTTTATTTAGAGCTTTCTTCCCTGGATCTGGACGAGAAAACTTGGGTCCTCAGGAAAGAAAGGAAAATATCTC